ATATTAATCAAAATATTCAGATTTTTGTTTTAAGAGTTAAAAGATTAGTATATTTTTTTAGTTTACCTAAATAATTAGAATATCTAATAGCAGCATAAGAAGAAAATTTAAACTATTCTAAAGTTTATAAACAGTTTCAACTGGATGGAATTTCTCATATTATTCTTGGACAAGATTATTAGAATTAAAAAAAACTTTAATTTATTTATCAAATGAATTAAGAGCTGATTATAATAAAGAAAATAAGAGTGATAGAAAATAATTAAAAAGAATTATGTTAAATAAAAATAAATGGAATTTAATGAAAGATTTGATTAAAATTTTGAAAAAGTTTAAAATAGTCATTAAATTAATAGGTAGATCTAATTATATTACTATATCTTTAGTATATCTAATGATTTTAAGTTTAAAAAATTATATTAAAGAAATGTTATATTGTTATCAAGATAATCAAAATAATAAAAATTCTGATATATTGATAAATTTATTTTCTGATAATAATATAACAAATATAACAAATATTCAAAGAGAAATTTTAGAAGAATTTGATGAAATATCTAATAATATAGAAGCTGATATTATTAAAATAATGAAAAGGTCAAAAAAAAAATTAGATATTTTTAAATCAATAGAAACAAATGAATTATTTTACCTTTTTTTATACAAAAAAGTTATGAATTATAAAAGTATTACAAAAAAGCTACAAAGTTTATTTAAGAAACTATTAATTTTTTAATTTCTTTAATTTCTTTAAGTTTAACAGCTGCTTTTACTAATTTAAAAGATAACATAAATGAATTTTACAGCTTTTCACCAAAAAAAATATTAAATTTAAAAGTTTTGACATTTTTAATAATGCTATTATCAATAAAATTTATATAATATAATAAAATAACATCAAGTATATATAATTTAATAAAAATAATGATAAATTTAATTAAATTCCTACGTTATAAATATTTAATTCAAAAATTACAAGTTTAATTTATTTTCTTATAATGTGTAGGTCAATAATATTCTAGTAAATCTATTATATAGTCAAAGCTAAGAATCTGAATGCTACCTAACTAGGAATAGACTATATGTGTTTTTTTTATAAAGGCTTTTTGCTAGCAGTTTGGGTACTGTCAAATGTGAATAGTAAGATTACTTCAGGCATTATAAGATCATCATATCCTAACTAAAGTGTCTAGGATAGATTGATATGTTAACCTAAAAATCACATGATTTTACGATTTTTATAATCAATATTACTATAAAATTAATGTAAAGACTAAATCACCCAATCAATAATTTAAATTCACAATCATCCGATCGTTCTAGTCAAAATTACGTCAGGTAAATCCAGTTGATATCATGCAAAATAAACTTTAAATTCGTTTATTACAACCAAGTATCGCTCCTTAAAATTGTTTAAAATTTTAATTTATACAAATATCGTATATGCCATCAGATTGTGATGATCATTTTGATCATTTATCTTTTTATGGATTTTCTCGAGAAATCGTGGGATTATAAATTCTTCCGCCAATTGATTATACTTGCCATCAAAAAAAAAATTTTTTTTTCATTTAAAGCATGCCTTTTAGTGAAAAGTCGGTTCAAACGACCGATGAATCCTCACCCGATAATAATAAAGAGAGTGAAGATAGTATCGGCCTAAAAACGTTTAAATCACTAGCTATAATACCAGCTTACTCTGGTGTAAAAGTTTTATCTAATGAAGATAATCCTTCCATACTTTGTAAATTAACTTACTTTTTTAAAGCTGAGAAGTTTTTATTTTCTTTTAAACTTATGGTCATTTGTAACTTTCTATTTATATAGCTATTCAAGTAATTTTAAGTCAAAGAGACTTGAAAAGAAAACTTAAAAGAAAAATCGTTAAACAATTGGTCGTATCATTGCCAACTAAAGGAAGTTTAGATACAACGGCCAAAATTATCACATCATCATTTTTACCTGTAGATTTAGGTGATGTAGTTTTACAAGCTGAATCACCAAGCGGGAATAAATTATTAATATTAAGATCAGTTTCAAATGATAAAGGAAAAAAGAAATTTGTTGAGGTTTGATTGACTGATTATTTCTTTTTTGTTTTTTTTTAAAAAAAAGAAATAATTTAAATTTAGGTTTTAAATTAGGTTTGGATCAAAGGAACTTTGAAACAATCTATTGACGTGACTGATACTCATGGAGATTATTATTCTGATGGTAAATAATATTCTATATGTTTGGCAATTATAATATGATATCTATTAATTGTTATTTACTTAGTAAATTTTGGAAGCTTGAAATGGTCTAGAAATGAAGAGAATGTTGTTTATATTGCTGAACGAAAAGCATTGGATGAAAAAGACGAAAAGGTATGTTATCAAGACCGAGCAAAATTTATTTCTACTTAATACTAACCTACATGATTTTCAGAAATGTGATTTTCTTCCTGGATGGGGAGAAACCTTGCCTAACAAATGTGTATCTGTTATTGTCGTCGTGAATGTGTTGGAATATAAAGTTGAAGTTTTACCTGAATTTGAAAAGATATTTCCCGGACAAGTTCGTTTTTATTACCTTTTTTTTAAAAAAAAAAAATATAAACGATTATAATAATAATTTATTTATTTTAATAGGCATTCTTTGGTCCAAAAGATGAAACACTTATATTCAACGGATATAATAGAGAACCACGTTATTATGGAATTGCGGCTTGTATCAACAGAATGTATGTTAACAACATATACGATTTATTAATTTTTAAAATATTATAATAATTATTATTAGTTTTTAACTATAATTTTTAGCTGTGGAATATATCAATGTAAACTCGATGGAAAAGATTTAGGTTTGACTACGATATAACTTATTGTTTATTTGTAATTAAGAATTTTAAAATTTTAATTTGTTTCTATGTATAGTACATTTGACCGAGCAATTAGAACATGCTCGTTCTCCAAGACTTACTCCTTCTGAAAAAGTTTTGGTTTGTATAAATTTTGTAAAATTTTTTATTCTTTATATATAATTAAACAACGATCAATTAAAATATATTTCATGAAAATAGGTTTATTATTCGAATCCAACTAGTGGACCGCATAGTTATTGTTCTGAACTTCGCGAGGTAATTTTTTTTTTTAAAAAATTAAACAAGTATATAAAGTCTAACGTTTTATTTAAAAAATTGTAGTACAATTTTTCAACGAATACACATGGTGTTATAGTTCCGGTTGTTCATACACCATCAAATTCATTCCAAAATGGATTCCCTGGCATTTATAATGATCAAATGAAAAGAAAAACATTTATCGTCTTTGAAGGCAAAGAGTTTTTAATAACCCAAAGTTATTGGAGAAGTAGAGGAGTTTTATTAGCAATAAATCTGGAAACGGGAAGTGTCCAGGATCTTACTCAAACGGGAAGCTGGACACTATTTCTTGCATGTAATAATTACATTATCGCATCAAAAGGGGCTCCTAATGAATTCAATGAATTAGTATGTTATATATAAATATAAGATATTTAGAAATTGAAATCTTTTAAATTAGATGGATGATTAATAAATAAATTCATTATTATTATTTAGTATTTTGGTATTGTAACAGGATATCAAAAGGATATGTTAGAAGTTGATTGGACATGTATAGACAAGCCAAATGTTGAAGAAGGTAACTTAAAATGTTTGAAGACAATTAAATTCAAGTATAATTTTTACTTACTAAAAATTTTTGTGTATTTATAGTCGAACCAATTTTATCAAACATTACTTGGTCAACTATTCAACCGATTCCAGATAACAATTTAGAAGTTATTTTCATAAGGCCCAATGAAATTTCTGAAGGTACAAAATTACCTTTGTTAGTTTTGCCGCATGGCGGACCTCATTCTGTGATTACACCGGATCTCAGGTTATATGTCACCACCTTAGTTTCATTAGGTTATGCCGTTGCAGCAGGTATTTTATTTTAATTTATTTGATTATTTATATTTATAATTGTGACCTAAGGATGTTTATTTTTTTTCAAGTTAACTATACTGGCAGTATTGGATTTGGACAAGATTCTATCAATGCATTAGTTGGTAAAGCTGGTGAACTAGAAATCGAGGAAGTGCAGGTACTGTATATGCAACAAGAACTTCTTAAAATTAAATGATTTTTATTTATATAATTTTTTCTGTAGAAATCCGCACAATATATTATTGACAATGAATGTGTAGACCCCAATAAAGTAATTGCGATAGGTGGAAGTCACGGTGGATTTATTTCTGCTCATTTGATCGGAAAATACCCAGATTTCTACAAAGCCTGTATAATGAGAAATCCCGTTTTGAATATTGGACGTACGTAATATTTTGTTTACAATTTAAGATTTTTCGACTCCTAAGTTTAATTTTTTATTTCATTTTAGAAATGGCGTTTGTTACCGATATTCCAGATTGGTATATAATATTATTTGAATTATTTGAAAAAAATCTTTAAAAAAAAAAAATTAAAAAAAAATCTCTTTAATTTACAGGTGTTTTTCAGAAATAGGGTTACCTTATTCACTAGCATATCCACCATTAGTTACACCATCAGATTATAGTAAGATGTATGAACATTCACCAATTAATAATATTGATAAAGTTAAAACACCTACTTTATTAATGTTGGGAGCTGAAGATAAAAGAGTTCCAAATATTGATGGATTAAATTGGTATTATTATTTAAAAGGCAAAGGAAATGTTGAAATTATTTGTAAAATGTATAAAGAAACCGGTCATGGTTTGGATAATATCGAAGCTGAATCATTTGGTATTGATGCCATCACTAAATTTTTAGAGGAGAAGGTTGGTGGATGACGTGTATTCTCTAAAATATATACCATTTACCATTTTTTTATATTGTATTATTTTCATGAATAAAGCTTCGTGTTAGTTTTTGTGGCACAAAGATATACACTTGTAGTAATGATTGGCAACATTTAAATTTTGGGGGTTTTTTCATTTTTATTGAATTGAATTATCTATATATATTGATTATAGTAAATATTTGGATTTAACACATTCGTAAAATAAACATCTCGGTTTTCTTGAAATTCACGACTTCGTTGACCCATTAACCTCTCTCTTTCCCATTCTTCCCAACGTTTTAATGGAACTTTAGAAGAATCAAATTGACCATCTCTTGTACCATGATTATCGTCCTTAGATTCCCCTTCAACTTTTCTTGTTTCACCCCACGAGAAATCATCAAAATGCCAATAAGCATATATAGGTAAAATGAAATTCCATACAGGTAAAAATATTAAATATATATTCATCCAAAGCACATAAACAAGTTTTCTCGTAGTAATTAAAATCAAGATAGCTGGTAATCCAAGAACAGCTCCTAACATTAATAATGGTATTGATTCATCAAAAGTTTTTGGAGGGGTTATCACATAAGAGATTAATAAACTATAGGTTAATAAGATGGCAATTGGTAATACAACGGTTCCCATTAATTCCATAAAAATAACAAATTGCATTGAAAAACAAAAGGTCCCACAAAGGTTTCTGACCAAAACAAGTTCCATAAGGTTATGTAAAGTTGAATTGATCCATCTACGTCTTTGGGACAATAAAACTCTAAAATCACATGGTACAACGGTTTTGCAAATTGCTTGAGGACAAAAGATCATTTTACGACGTGGAAAATTTCTTAACATTAGAGTCGACAAGAAACGATCCTCACCGAGAAGTAACAAATTCTTTTGATGAAGGGTATTTACAATATTTTGAGAATATTCTTGTACGATTTCCGGTTTCGTTAAAATTGGAACCCAATCTTTACCCTTGCGAGATTTAAGTCGATACATACAGAAACAACCTGGTAAACAAGTTACCCCACCAAACACTGATTCGAAACCTTTCCCTAAATGATGAGAAATGTAATATTCGAAAACTTGAATACAAGTAACCCATGATTCTCGTTTATTTGCGATGCGTGTTTCGCCACAAAGTCCTATAATCTGAGAGTCATTACATAGACAATTAACGAGTAATCGCAACGAATCTGGGTATACTCTTGTATCGGCGTCCACCTTTTTTTTTTTTTTTTTTTAAAAAAAAAAAAAAATAGGATTAATTAATATAATTAATGTTGAATTCCAAATTTTTTTGTCAATGGATTTATTTTTAAATGATTTACCATAAGAACGGCTTCAAAGTAATCGGGTGTCACGCCCATGATATGAGTAATCTTACGGAACAAATCATAATCCAGAGAAGGGATGCGATCATTATAAGTAACGCGATTAAAAAAATTCATTAAAATTAATTGGGAATCACGTTTGCCTCGATTTCCAGGTTTTTGACTGCCTTCTTCGTCAGGGTTGCCACATTTTACAACAGTAATCATTGGAACACGTTCATTATTATGACCTTTTTATAATAAATAATATTATACAATATTAAATGCACGCTTAAATTTAAAAACAAAAAATAAAGTTATTTTTGATCAAAAAAAAAAAAAAAATACTTACAAAAATGACCAACATAAACCTTAGCCCTGTTATATTGTTTAGCGCCATCATCCACGGCGATATAACTCATTGGTTGAGGATGATTGAATTCTGGAGAAAGATCCATCATTTCTACACAAATTTGGGGCGTACTCTTTGAATTCCCGCTGCCAGTAATAATTCCATCGCAAACCAAGAATAACAATTTCCTATTATTTGGATAATCCGTGGCGGCCATTGATTCACAAGTAGTTCTTATACCAGCTTCACTCTCCGAATAACATGTGACTAGCAATACGGTAAATAAATCATTTCCAACTTTATCCATTGTCATGTTTAAATTGCCGAGCACTCGTGGATGAACTTTATTAGATGCGTTGTCTGGTTGATACGCGAGCCTTGGTGAAATGAACCAGTTAAAAACACAAGCCATTAAAAATCGTGCCAATAAAATTCCTAAAATTACCACTAATGAAACGTATAAAAAAAGTTTTGATATAAAACATCCGATCGTATCTTTATCGATGTTTCCGGCAAAATATTTATCGATAACACATCTCATAGCTTTCTTCATATCTTCTTTGCTATAAAAATAACGCGTCGCATCCTTTCCCCCTGAATTTAATACTCTACGAATAGTTTGATCAATTAAATCATTTTCAATTTTATTTGGAAAGGTTTTCATATAAGGTTCTAAATTTAAAACATTTCCGTCTATGACCATGTAATTATTTATATGTTGAAGTTGATCCCAATCATACCCAACTTTCCTCGTTGAGTTTATCAAGTTTAATCTTAAAAGATGATTGTCATTAATTGTATCATTTAAAGCACAAAATTCCTGATAATCACAAGGTTCGTGATGAACAATCTTGAAATTTAAATTTGAATTGCTTGCTTCCACACAAGATTCAATATGTTTATTCTTTCGTGTGAAATAGTTTGTTATATCTTGTCCGCTTCCATTTTTTAGGATCTCAATTACGGGGAGTTCCGGAGGTGTTCGTGCTTCAGTTACGTCAAATTGCCAACCCAGTATCCCAAGATCACCTAATTATTTATCAATCAATAGATAACCAAGTAGTTATTAAATCATCAGGAAAGTTTTCTTAGAATTGACCATTAGAAAGTGAGGTAACCTTTTTTTTACCTGACGTTTGATTAAATTTCAAGAACTTTGCATCCGAAATAGGGCATAAGGATGATGTAAGATAAATGGTCACAAAGGCAACGATACCGCTCATGGCAAGGGCGATAAAACATAAAGCAATCTTTTCGCGCCATGCTTGTCTTGATTGTTTATCTTGAAGACCCCCTATTGAAGATAACAAGGCGGGATGTGCCCAAAATGTTACTATTCTAGAAAATATCACCCAACAAGATTTGTTTTCTTGAATTTTTCCCGTCAAAAGTGGGACTGTTGGTTGGTAACGTTCTGGCTTATTTAGTCTACGCCCGATAGTTTGCGTTCTAGTTAAAGAACTAGAATCCATTGTGTGATATATCTTTAAAGAAAATTTTATTCTTATTTTTTTTTTTATTTTGGTTTTGTTTTTTTTTTTTTAAAAAAAAAAATTATATATATATATATAGACGGAAATTCATACTCAAAAGATTGAATTACTTGTTTCATTGAAATTTTTTATATTGAAAATCCCAAAACCAAACGTGCATCTTAACCAAAAGATAATTTTTTACAAACAACTTATTAGATTTAAAAAGAGCTCAATTAATTCAATTTAATTAATATGAGCATAAATTATAAATTAAATATAAACTACCGAGATTGATCCGAATGAAAATCTCTTTCTCTTTTTCATATGATCCCAAATCCTAAAAAAAAAAATTTATAAGGAGTATCTTTTTCTCGTCGCACGATCGGTTTAAAAAAAACTTTGTTATAAAATGACGCACGAGGTGACATAATTATAATAAACAAACTGTCATATGTAACATTGTGTTATAAAAAATCATATATGTGTGTGTAAAAAAATAAAATTCCTGCCGCGACAATCGAACTTTTGCAACGTTCGAATGCATATATATATAAATATCTCTCCCTTACAAAAGTTGTGAAATTCTTTTTTGACCTAATGATTGTAAACATGGAAGCTCCAAGAAAAAAAAAATAAATAATTTTTTTAATAATTTTATAGAACGATGATTTCAAGTCGACGTTACACGACCGAATCGAATTTAAAGACCCCCATAACAGGCAAAAAATAATTTGAAATACATGATCATTTGATTACCCCTCGGTCGTGCATCCTTATTATTGATTTTATTATAAATTCATTTCCGATTTTCTTTTTTTCCTTTTTTTTTTTTATTTTTTTATAAAAAAAAAAATATTACTTTCACAGAATCAATTAAATTATGCCACAACCATCCTCACCAACGAAACCAAAACGTCGTAATTCATTAAGAGAACAATGGGATACAACGACAAAAGTCGTTAATGTCAAACAAAAAATTCATTCAAACATAACTAATAAATATACGGAATTACAAAAATCAACCTTCACAAAATGGGTTAACATACAATTACGTATGATTGATATTAATCAATTGGATAATTCCTCAAGAAAAAAAATTCCTGAAATCGAGGAGATTGACAAGGATTTTCGAGATGGAAAAAAATTAATACGATTACTTGAAATATTATATCCAAATGATTCGGATTTACCAAAACTTGAACGTGGCAATACGAGACATCATCATATTGCAAACGTTAGTAAGATATTGAAATTCTTACAAAAACATTTGGATGAAAAAGGTTTAACCGCATTGGCAGCTATAGGCGCTGAAGATATCGTTGATGGTAATGTAAAGTTAACTTTAGGATTAATTTGGTTAACGATTTCAAAATTTATACAAGCGTTTGACGTTCAATTTGAAGTTACTGAGGAGGAATTAGAAGAAGTTGAAGAAAGATTTAAAGAAAATATCAATAACAAGAAAGAATACAATAAACACGATGACATTCAAAAGTTTTTGTTTAATAATGATGAGAATGAAATCGAATCTTTTGAAGAATTTCAACAACAATTTAGATCACATTTTATTAACGTCGAAGAAATATTTAATAAGAAAATTGTTGCTCCTACAATTTACGAGGAAGAAGAAATAAATACGTGTAATGAGCAAACATCCGCGGAAGATAAATCTTCAATCACTTCACCCACACCTATACCTCCTGAAATAATCGTGTCAGAGCTTCCCAAAAAAAATTTGCAAGACTTGACAAAGTCTGAAAAGCGATTATCATTACCAATCTTTCAACCTACCATTACTAACAATAATAAATTAAATGATAAAAATCTCAATCAATCCCCAAAGCAGTTTAGAACTTTACGTTTGAATTCTTCACCAATAAACTCCAACACGTCTAATTTATTATTTTGGATTAACATGCAATTAATTAATTATACATCGTTATTACCTTCATCGAATTATCCTTTGGAAGATTTTATAGGATTGAACGATGGTATTATCTTGTCTGTTCTGATTCAATGTTTGAACATTGAATGGGATATGGAGGATTTAAATTTATTAAACTCTGAAGAGATTAAGATTGAATTAAGTGACACCAAAGACCTAAGCGAAGAAGAACTTCGTGAAAGAGAAATTTTTAAAGAGCTCAAAGCAAAAGAAAGATTATCAAAATGCTTTAATATTATAGAGAGGAAATTGAATGTACAACAACCAAAAGCATTAATTTCAATGTTGATCGAAAAAGATTATATTGATAAAGAAAGGTTGAAGAGAACTGGATTAGCTTGGAGTGTTTATATAAGTGAAGTTTTTTTGACTATAACCAAATCCAAGAATCAACGAAAGGAAATGAAAAGACGTAGTAGGTTATTAATGAATAATATCGAAGAAAATAAAGAAGAAGAGAAAGTAGAGAAGAAAGAAAGAGATAGTGAGAAAGAAAAGGAAAATTCAAAAGAGCACGTTATTAAATTTGTTGATTATGGTGCTAGATACAATCATCAACCTTTAAGCAATGATGATAATCAGAAGAAAAATAAGAAATCCAGAGGATGTCTTCCTTTCTTTCATAATCAAGATGATGATGATGATGATTCATTTTTGCCGCCCTGGACACCTCCCGCTGCCTCTTTAATGGCTATTATATGGGAATGGACTTTAAATTGGCTATTAAATAATGATGATGATGATGATGAAATGGATTTTTTCATGGGAGTATAAATTGAAATATCATAAATTATTATCGTTTATTAATAATATGTTACATCTTTATAAAAATTTCTTTTTTGTATATTTAATTTCATAATCGCTGATTTATCGTTATCTTTAATTTTTTATTTATTTTCAAAGTTTTCGATGTATATGTATTAAAAAATAAATTTTGTATCATTTATAATTATCAGTTAAATGAGAGGCTCATTTGGTTCTATGTGCAAATATAGTTAAATAACATATTTGGCGCAGTCAAACAATTTTAATATATATACACGAGATATTTTTTAAATCTGTCTGGCCTAATAATTATGCAGTACCAACCAAATCTTCGAATCTATGTCCAATACTAATGAAGAAGTTCCAAAATGGAATACACATGTTGAGTATTGTTCGATTAAAAATGGTTCTAATAAGTCAAGGATAAGCCATTTTGATAATTTGTCAAGTATTTGCGAGTTAATATACCATATATATTATTTTTTTTATTTTATTTTATTTTTTTTACATCATCCTTTCGATTTTAGTTGGGTTGATACAGAAAAATTACATGGAGCAAATTTGTCATTTATTACAAATGGAAAAGAAATCAAATGTGCGCGAAGATCAGCAATACTTCGAGAAAAAGAACAATTCTATAATCATCAAATACAATTACAAAAATATTCAAAAAATATCTTTTCAATTTATAATCGTATGAAAGAAAAGGATCTAATTAAAGGAGAAATGATTATTATATATGGAGAACTATTTGGAGGTAGATATCCACACCCAAATATCCGACAAGAGTTTTCTAAACCAATTCAATATGGAGTTTATTATACACCAACAAAGAATTTTTGCCATTTGATTTATTTGATGGAAAAGATTTTGTGGATTTTGATATAACGATTGATTTATTTAAAGAAAATGATATACCTCATGTTAAAGAATTATCAAGAGGTAATTCAATGATATAATTCAATATAATCCACGTTTTTGAGACTACAATTTGGCTTACCTAAATTAAAAGATTATGAAAATTTAGCAGTAGGTATTGTAATTAAACCAATTAAACCTTTAAGAACAGATAATGGTTCAAGAGTAATATTAAAAATTAAAATCGAAGATTTTGAAGAAAGAAAAAGGTATTTGAATAAAGCGAGTGATGAAATACTTTATGTATTTAAGGGTTAATATAAATAGATTAGAAAGTGTTATTTCTAAACAAGGTGAATTAAATGAAGAAAATGATAATGAAATTTCATAATTATTATTTGATGATGCTCTAAAAGAATTTCGGATAGAAGATAACAAAATGTTTATAAAATATAATAAGTTAAGTAATCATAAGAAGCAAGGATTTAAAAAGAATGCCATGTTAAGAATAAAATTTGTTATTGAAGAATATTTCGAGAAAATTGTTGTTTCAAATACTAAATTAATTTATTACGTTACGTAAACTTTATATTCCTATTTTAGTTTAATTTTTAAAAATAATTAATAATCTTATTTTAAATTATATATGGTGCCGGAAGTCTTAACTAGACATACTTGGAAAATTTTTAACATTAAAAAATAATATAATTTTTAAAAAAATAAACCGGTAATCTTATTCTCCAAGGTGAAGTCTATTAAACTTCGGTGTTTTTCATATTGTTTGTCCGAATTTGAAACAAATTTTGTCACGTGAATGCAATTTTATTGGCTGAAAATCATCATAATTTGAGCTGAAATTATGATAATTTGATGCCGGCCCGAATTATCGTAATCAATTTTTCACGAGAATGAGTGATCATGAGAAAATTTTTTAGATTTTCACATGTAAATGAAAAATGTTTTATTTGAATAAACCAATAACCACTTTTTTAAATGTCACGTAAAACAAAAAGCCAACTGCAGATTAGCAAAATACCAAGAAAAAAAGGTCATTACCTATCTAAAGATCAAGCAAAAACTGAGATAGAGGCTGTTAAAAGTGAAAAATGGATGGATAATAAGAATATTGACGAGTGGACAGAGGGTGAAAACCAGATAGATAATGAATATTTGAATGAATTTGAGAAAATGGGAAAGAAGCTTACCAAAGTTCTTTGTTAGCATGGGAAAGCTACAGGTAGTATCAGAGTAGCATACAATGGAACTTCAAGAATCACATTCTGGAGGAATATAAAAAAAGGAAGTGTTAGCGCGTGATGCAAAGGGAATAAGAACTTTTGATACATTATTTAGAAGTATCAAAAAAATCAACCAGTATTCCCTTATCACAATCATTAAAATCGCAATTTTCATCTCTATCTCTATCTCTATCTTTTGAAACTATACCAAATTCTTCTTTAATTTCTGAAGAAATCTACAGATACGTCTAGATGAAATAAGTTAATAATGTATAGTAACAAAATCCATAAAAATGAATAAAAATGTTTTTACCTATGATTATTTACGTCATTTAAGTATATAAAGATATATACAATTATTATTAGATAGTTAGGGTAAAATAAATGCCAGTAATCAAATTGCACAAACTGTGTAAGATAAAGGTGATTATATGGGAGCTTTGCAATAGAAAGGGAGGAAACTCTAAAAAAAATTAAAATTTTACTTTCTAAGCTAATTATGATTTTTTTTGTAAAATAAATCTAGATTTAACATTAACTCAAAAAAAAATTTTTTTAGAGTTTCCTCCTTTTCTATTGCAAAGCTCCCATATTGCAAGATGTATCCGAAAATAGGGAAATCATTTTATAAAAATGGGTGAGCTTTTTGTTTATTATCAAAAGAAACATATAAAACTAGAAAGTTTGCTAAATGATAAGAACTTTAAGTAAAAATGTCAAACATGATTATGACAATAAAAACCAGAATCACATACCCTTGAAAATCTGAAAGTGTATATTGAAGGAATGGTATTTTCTAAATTGACAGGCTATATCAAAAAAAACACGATTTCTAAGAAAATATACTGAAACTATATGTATTTGTAAGGATATAAATATGATGAGAGAAAAAAAGAGTTTATTATAATAGGCATAAGTAACCAGATATAATAAAATACAGACAGAAAGGAATGGTTAAAGAGGATGTTTGAATATCAAAAGCTAATGAAAGATTTTGATGGAGATATGATAGAACAGATTTGTTACAATAGTTTTGTATTATTCTTCTAATATAAATTTATACAAATCATAAAAATATTATGATTCAGATCAAAGATTTCAGCAAATTTGTTTAACTCTCATGATTGGGTCTCTATATTCTATATAAGTATAATCTCATAAGAAATCAGTCATTTATTGTTATAAGATTCTTTAGTAGATAGAAATCTTTTATAGATGAATAGAATTCATGCAGATAAAATGAGCTAGTCTGCTTGCTTTTCTTACATATATATATGAAATTATTATCTTAGACAGCTTTATTGGCTTTTTTCCTCTTCCTAGTACCATTCGTATAAATTCATAAATATTTTTTTTCTGTAAAGTATTTGTAAAAAGAGAATGCTTTAATATACTTCATTTTAAATGTTTTCACAATACTAGAAAGAATTTCACTCACCTTTTCTTTACATTCATCTGAAGTCTCTCTGTTTGGTACGAGAATGTCAAAGAAAAGCTGAATGCCTACAAAAGTTATTAGTGCTTTTTAATCATTAATAAAATGACCATAAAAATGTAATATATAGCAGTACATTCCATTTATTCTTTTTATTAATCCTTCATTCTCAATGGCCATGAATAAAATATCTTATCATTTAAATAAAGCATCTTTGAGGATTGAAGGTAATCCTTCATTATTTCTCGCAACAATATTATCTTGTATTAGGATACCTAATAAGTAGTTTTCACTAGAGTAATGAATCACTTGGCCTTCCATTTTATTTTTTTCAGCCTCTGGATAAAAAAAGGCAGAGCATTGAAAAACTCTTAATGCTTTGATTATATCATGATATTATATTGCAAATATACAGTTCAAGAGAAAGTATACTATCCTATCAAAGTATTCAGTCAAGCTTTTTTTGGTTTTTTTGAGATCAGATATATTAACTATTATTTTTTTAAATAAATGCTCTTGTTCTGATGATTATTTGTTTATTGTTATAACATATATACCAAATTTGACAATAAAATATAAATAATGATTAATTTTATGTAGTGATGATCTTTACCTTTTTTTACTGCGCTATTCAAAGCATATTTTGAAATAGGAAAAAATTGTGAGTTAAATAAATTTTAAGTATGAAAAAATTATTGACCTTCAGATAGAAGAAAGAACTCATAAAGTCATTGATCATATCTTAAAAATTCCAAAAAGTACTATATTAACACAATTTTTCAATACAAAAATTTTAACATTAGATTAACAGCTAAAAGAAATAAAAGACCATGTTCTATGAATAATGATGATCATCATAAGTTTTCAAAAATTGTTAAAAAAATAATCGACTTTCTCTTGATAAAATTAAGCAGAATTTTAATAATTTATAAGAAAAAAACATTTCAGTTGTAATTATTTGTAAAAGTCTTTTATTAAATGAGAATTTATTCACAGGTTTTTATGCTAAAACCACTTCTTACAGAATCCCAACATGATAAACAATTGTCATAGTATATGGAACAGAAAAATTAGTCAGTTAGATAATGAAAAACTGTTATCTGAAGTGACAAATCCAAATTTACTCTTTTTTAAAGTGATGGTCCTAGTCATGTTTAGAGAAAAGAAGGAACCTGATACAATATTGAGAATTTAGTACTTACAGTTAAATATGATAGTAGAGGTGTTATAATATGAGGATGTTTTTCAGGAAAGGGATTGGAACTATTAGTAAATGTAGATGGTAAAATGAATAGATTGGATTATATTAATATTTTAAAAAAAATTTATTACTATTTATCCAATTCAAATATCGCAAATAGCCTTATGCATTTCAGGTAACAATGCTCTTGTTCATACTGCAAGAGATGTTAAAAATTAGATTACACAAAAAAAGATTAAAGTTCTCTCAGATTGGCTTTCTTAATCTTTAGATTTTAATCCTATTGAACATTTGTGATATAAACTTGAATAGAGACTTCGAAAATGATTTGTGTATCCAAAGAATTTTTATAAACTTAAAGAAATATTACAAAAAGAATGGAAAAGAATCCTATTTAAAACTTATATTAATTTAATTAAAAGCATATTATGTCAGATTGAAGCATACATTAAAAGCTAAGGATAATCAACTAAATATTAAATATTTAATAAAATATAACTTTTATTGATTGATCAGAATCAATTAGATACTTTTAATAGGATAGTATATTATATATTTCAGAAGAAAAAAGTTTAAAATAAAAATTAATTCTGAAATATATAAACTGATACATAAACCAACTATTTATAGTTATTAAAAATGGTATTTTATCAATATACTTATATTCATAGGAATAGTGAGATTTGCAATTGAAGATGCTATTATCTAAAAGGATGCCATATTCATCATAATTCTTCTTTCAGATACCTTGTAATAAATGCAGTAGATTAACTTATTTTAAATATGGATTTTGCAATATTTATGCTAAAAACCACAGTAAAAAGAAACAATATCATCAGAAAAAGCTGGCTGAATTAACTTCAATACAATTTCAGGATAGTTAAGGGATCTTAAAATCTGTTCTAAAAATCCATTTTAGTTTTCTGAGACGAGTTAGGATGGGTTTCTAGTACAGAAAAATATAGCTAAATGACAATTTCAAGCTGAATTAAAGGAAATTTAATTACATTCTAGAGGTCCTAATAAAATGCAGAATTCTTTACTTTATTTTTACTTTTACTTATTGTTAAATAAAATAACTTTCGACCTAATGATTATATTTTAATAAAAATATAATCATTAGAACCGTCTCATTGAGAGATTTCCAATGAATATAAATACAAAGTTATTGGATTAATAAAAGCAGAGATAATTCGAAAAGTGTGATTGTTATTATAATTTTGCAAATCACTACTAAAGAAAGCCATAATTTCTTAAGCCACATCCTAATGATCAAAATGACTGAAACCTCAGAAATAATGATAACGCTGTTAATTAAGTTAATATAGTTGATTAAATTTAATTGATTTCTTATATTTATTTAGTTAAATTAGTTAATGAAGTTTATAATGTTTCTTTAGTTTTAATAGTTTTACTTTATCTTAAATTAGTAATAGAAGTAGATCAAATATTTTATATAAGTAGAATAAGAAATTGCTGTAGTCAAGGAACAGGCAGATTTAAATTAGAGATAGTTA